TGGGCGAGCAATATGTATAGTGTGGTGATGGTAAAGGTGGTTGTTATAGAAAGATTTTGAGTACTAGGAAAGTGCAACAACGTTACAAATCGATGATATCTACTCTGTCTGCTATCTCTTTATTAGCTGTCTGCCTGCGGTCGTAGTGATGTCTGTTTCGTCGCGGCCTCACGTGGCTCGCATAACTGAGATTCTATGAGTGCTCAGCCACTGTCTGCTTCTGTGCTGCAGTCGGGGAACTGGAGTTGCGACAGGGTACTGGCAAAGGACTGGCGGGTTCCGTATCGCGCTTGTCAAGTTCGCTGAGTCTCGAAGACTTCTGGATAAACAAGCAGATGGGCATCTGTGCTGCAGCTCGAACCCCAGGGACTGTATTTGCGAGGTACGTCACAGAAACCCAGACCGATCCTCATGTGTATTCGTATTGTTCATCTAATAGGGAGTAGTTGTATCCCCCGCCAGAGCGAGCTCGGCAGGATACTATGGCCTTCATGTCTCCCCAGCCGCGCTCCCGCACTCGGTTACGCCGTTTAGGAGGGAATTTCCCTTTTCGTCTTATAATCGGCACCTTAATTGACCTAGTGTGACCAAACAATTGGTTATACTTACACATCATTCGGCGAAACGAGAATGTGCAGAGAGTACCAAAACAGTCACGGCCCGACCTTTATTTGACCTTTACCGATTGACCTTGATTCCTATTTCCTTCCCGTCTCTCTAACTTGGCACCTAATTGAACTAGCGGCTACCAACTTGGTCTATATCTACACATCTTGGGGAGAAGCGTGTGCAGAGCTACAAAAAACCAAGGTCACGCGAACTTTATATTGACCTTTACCTTGACCTCTGATCATATTTCCCTTACCACTCTCGAACTCGCCCCCTAATTTGACCTAGCCTACCAAACTTGGATTACTTACACATTTGGGGAAAGGTGACAGCGTACCAAACCAGTGCATCAACTGCGATCTTTATTGGGACCTTTACTTGACCTTGTCAGTATTTCTCCCTTCCGCTCTCTAACTTGGCCCCTATTGACGCTCAGCACGCCTACCACTGGTTAGTTTACACATCTTGGGGAGCAAGGTGAGCAGCGTACCAAACCAGGTCATAGGTGACTTTATTTGACTTACTTGAGACCTTATCATATTTTTTTCGGCTCTCAACTCGGCCCCTAATTGACCTAGCTCACAATTTGGTATAATTACACATCTTGGGGAGAGCTGTGGCCAGACGTACCAAACCAGCGTCCACTGCGACTTTTATTTGACCTTTACTTTGATCCTTGATCATATTTCCTTCTAGCTCATCTAACTCGGGTTCTAAAATTGACCCGCGCTTACCCAAAACCAGTACCTGACGACCTTTATTTCGGGATTTTACTTGACTTGATCCATATTTTCCCTTACGCTCTATATCGGCCTAATTGATTATGCTACAAACTTGGATATAACTTACACATCTTGGAGAATGGGTCGAATGTACCAAACAAGGGTCAACTGCCGGCTTTTATTTGACTTGACCTTGATCATATTTCTCTTCCACTCTATAACTCGGCCCCTAATTGACCTAGCGCGACCAAACTTGGTATACTTACACATCTTGGGGAGGTGTGCCGCGTACCAAAACCAGGTCACTGCAACCTTTATTTGACCTTGACCTTGACCATCATCATATTTCCCTTCTGCTCTATAACTCGGCTCCTAATTGACCTAGCGCGACTAAACTTCGTATACTTACACATCTTGGGGAGAACACGGGGGATACATGTAGTTGGCGACAACTGCCCTTTCTAGTTGGAAACTGTGGTTAGGCCTGTGTAGAAGGAGGATCACTCAGGGGAAATACCAAAAATGCCCTTTATCGACATGTGTGTGTTCTGTGAAGGTGGTTAAATTATAACTGCTACTCAAGGGAAACATCAAGATTGTGTTGTATAGGATATAGTGTATATATATTATAAGTGTCTCTTCTGTAGAAGTACCTGCTAACATAGGGTTTACAAGTATTAGTGGTCGAGACAGCTACATGGATTTATGTTGGAATGGCAGTTTTTTGAATGAAAATTAATGCATTTGCAGGTACACTTTCTAAACCCAGTGATATCCAGAAAGCCAAAACTTCAGCGACAGACGAAGTTATTTAAACACAAAGGTGAGTGTGTGTGCCTCTACATCGGTTTAAAGCAATGATCTCTGCAATTTGGTTATAAATGTGATAAACAACTTCATGAGAGTAGATCAGGTAAGTAAATGGAAGAATGTAAAGAATAAAGAAGGCAGCTCTGACATAGAGAACTCTTTAGTTTATGAGAAATCTGCCATTATTTTTTTTAGCCCAGCTGACGAAGTCAGATGCAGCTTGTAGAATCGCATGATTGTCCGTCCGTCCGTCCGTCCGTCAACAGTTGGGCACAAATCTTAACCGCTCGACGTATGGTCTTGATATTCGGGACGTCGGGGGGGATCGCGAAAAGGACTCAAGATGTTGAATTTGGGGGTCAAAGGTCAAGATGTGTCAATGGAGAGGGAATATTTCCCCCTTAACTTAAGGTATAGGAGGAAATACGGAATTGCAGCACAAATCTCAATGGCTCGACCTACGCTCTTAATATTCGATGTATAGTGTGATGGGGAGGAAACCCATCACCAGCGCGAAATTGGAGGTCACAGGTCAAAGGGCAGTTGGGGAAAGGTCGGATATCAGACATTTTCTGAGGACATGGTCTAGCGGACCGAGTGCAAAACTTTTTTGTTTTGGCACTGACCTACCATTTTTATCACTTTATTGAAAGGACCATGAAATCTACTTTCTGCTGACGTGCGAAGAGTAAGTGTCTGATAACCTTTTGACCCTTAAGAGAAGGGTTAAACATGGATTTGTTTGTGTCCTTGTTGTTGCGATTACGTGCAGGCAGTGACGGTTGGTGCATGTTGGGGAGCTGTTTTGATATCTTGGGTTCTTCTCGATGCGCTAGCTTTGGATGGTGATGGCGCCTGACTGAGTTTGCTGATGGTTCACGTATTGCAGACGAAATTTTGACGGTATTGAAGCTAGACAACGCTGTTGTCGGACAGACGGCGTGGAAACCCTGCAGTCAACAGTGCTGGGATCAGCGTTTCAGCATTAATCTGGACAGGGTGAGTGTAGTGGTCATGGCAATACCTAACAATAAATTACCGTAAGCTAATATGTTGGTCCGTCCTACGGCATGTGCGAGCAATAGTATAGTGTGGTGATGAGTAAAGGTGGTTGTTATAGAAGATTTTGGGTACTAGAAAAGTGCACAACGTACAAATCTGCATGTTCTATCTGATCTGCTATCTCTTTATTGCTGTCTGCATGCGTCGTGTGATGTCTGTTTGTGCGGCTCACGTGGCCTCGCATAACTGAGATTCTATGAGTGCTCAGCACTGTCTCGCTTCTGTGCTGCAGTCGCGGGAACTGGAGTTGGACATCTACTGGAAGGACTGGCGGTCGCTATGCGCTGTCAAGTTCCTGCGTCTCGAAGACTTCATGGATAACAAGCAGCATGGCATGGTGCTGCAGCTCGAACCCCAGGGACTGCTATTTGCAGAGGTATGTCACAGAAACCCAGAGCCGATGCTTGCATGCATGTTTGTGCGTGCTCGCGGGCTGCAATGACCATGAGTGGATTTCTCTCACGTTATTTACGTCATGTTACTATAGGTGAAACAGGGTGCCGAGAACATGCTGCAGATGTACAACACACCCAAGGACAAGAAGATGCTGAGCGAAGCGCAGCAAATGTTGACTGACAGCAAAAGCAAAATCGAGTACATCCGTATGCAGATCCTGCGGATACAACACATCAGCTCTGAAGAGCAGCAACAAGGAGATGGGGACAGCGGTAAGCGAGGCGTGACATGGGGTAGAGAGGAGAGAGAGATAGGAGCTGAGAGGGTGAAAAGAAAGTGATATCTGAAAACAGAGTTAGAGATAGATTGGAAAAATATCAGATCGAAATTGAGTAATGTAGCTTGAAGAATGTATAGGGTGATGTGTAGGGTACAGAGTAGTCGGGGATAGAAAGCAAGCCCAGAAGAGGATGGAAGAGATAGTGTGGGCAACAGATAGACAGACAGTGAGAGGGAAGGAGATTGGGTGGGTGAGAAGTAGGGGTCAGGCAGGGGGAGGAAGAGCAAGGTAGTGTCAGCGAGAGAGAGTGATTGTTTGAGAGCAGAAGGGAAATGGGAATTATGCAGTATTTGCATTTCTGAACGTGAGACGACTATATAGCGAATATGTGTGTGAAGGAATGCATGCTGTGCAGGTAAACGACATGAGGTGATGTCACCACTCGACCTGCGGATCGAAGAGCTGCGGCACCACGTGAAGATTGAGGCAGCTGTTGCAGATGGCGCTAAGAACGTCATCCGACTACTGCAGGGTTCGAAATCACAGGATAAAAAACCCCTGCAAGAGGTGCGTAAGTGGCAACAGATGGCACTCTGGCTGGAAGCTGATAAATCACTTACCATGCTTCGATGGCATCTTGTGCTGGTGTTTTCAGCACACCTAGCTACCTCCTCCTGCTGCTGCTGCTGCTGCAGCTGCTGCTGCTGCTGCTGCTGCTGCTGCTGCTGCTACCTCCTCTTCCTGCTGCTGCTGCTGCTGCTGCCAGGTCATTAGTTTTTAGCTCAGCTGACAAAGTCAGATGCAGCTTGTAGAATTGCATGATTGTCCGTCCGTCAAGAGTTGGGCACAAATCTTAACCGTTCGACGTACGGTCTTGACGTCGGGGGGGGGGGCGTGAAAAGGATGCGGGATGTTGAATTTGGGGGTCAAGGGTCAAAGGTCAAGATGTGTCAATGGAGGGGGAATAGTTCCCCCTTAACTTAGGCTATAGGAGGAAATGCTGAATTGCGGCACAAATCTCAACGGATTGACCTACGTTCTTAATATTCGATGTATAGTGTGATGGGGAGGAAACCCATCACCAGCGCGAAATTGGAGGTCACAGGTCAAAGGGCAGTGGGGGAAAGGTCAGATATCGGACATTTTCTGAGGACATGGTCTAACGGACCGAGTGCAAAACTTGTTTGTTTCATTTTTTGTGTTGTTCCCATCGTTATGGTTGCCCTGGTAACAGACATTTAAGTTTTCGGCAGTATACATTAAAATCTAAGTGAGAATAGCTTTGGATTACAAAACTCACACATGCGATGTATTGCAGTAACCCAATCATTGTATCAAATTTTGGACAAAATAAGTTTGTAAATATAAGTACGATAATAAATAATTTCTATTGATAGCAACACCTACCTCAGTTCATCACAACCTTATTGCAGGGCAGTTGAGTTCGTTGAAAGTTTGTTTATAATTATGTGCTAAACATGTTTCGCCCTGCTAATACACTGTATCAGCATGTATAATGCACGCAAGCATAAAGCAGCAACGTAGAACAGGCATACACCTATTCTATTCAATTCAACTCAGATTCTACTGTATCACAGCATTCTCAGTTTACATTCTCACAGCGGAGCAAAACAAAAACAACCACATTCAATGTTTGTCTGAAGGTGTTATGGGCCCTTTTTTACCTGATTTGCTCACTGTTATGGGCCATTTTTTACCTGATTTGCTCACCGTTCAGAAGGTCTTTGCTGGTTATTGAATACCTGCAAATATATCAGCAGGGCATGTAAATTTAAATATCTGAATGACGTGACATGTTTAAATGATTGCTAGTTTTAATTTGTTTGCCATAGATGGTGTAGATGATAGCTACAGTAATAGTTTTGTTAGAACACTGGATATATATGGGGTGGGGGTGCTATACAGTGCTAATCCTGCCAATTATTGGTGAATGAGTACTCGTGCTGTCATAACACCTCACGAAGGCCAGTCACCATATCTCGTGGAGGCATTGGTAATGGGACGGCCACGGCGGAGGTGTCACCACTCCGCGCGAACGATAGCACGCGCGCCGTACGGCCGGCCCGATAGTAACGTGCTGCCACCTGCAGGCACAGCACCGGCTCACGGAGTCCAACCAGAAGCTGCACCTGCTGCGCTGCTCGCTCGACCGTCTCATGCACAGCCTGCCGAAGAACTCGCCGAAGGCAGCGGCGCTGAAGCAGGAGCTGGAGCTGTCGAGCCCGACGCACTACATGCAGAAGCGCGGCAGCATCATCACCGCGCAGCAGCAGCAGTACTCGTCGCTCACAAAGCCGATGGCGCTCACGGGCAAGCTAGAGGTCAGGTAGGCGACGTCGCCAGAGGGCGCCGCCAGGGTGGGCGAGAGTCCTCGACGCGTGTACGTGTGACCTTGCTAATTGACCTTGCGCACGCGGTTTGCTCTACTCTTGTTTTGCGCAGGTCGCGGCTCTGTTGAGCGCCGCTGTGTTGTAGATAGTTTCTTGTGTTAGGCTGAAATACCAGCTGTGTAGCTGCTGTGTTATACAAGAGTATGTAATTTTATAATATCATATCATATTAGGTCATTTACTCTGGCTAGGCTTGGTATTGATGCTGAGAAAGATAGGTGCTGCAACGAGTGCCTGCATTTATAATTGACCCGGGCGCCTTGTGCGACTGTCAGGCAGCTCTTGTCTGTCCAGTCACCATTGCAATAGGACGATCTTTTTCGTGACTTGCTGCTAAGTCGTCATTTTAGCTTGCACCACGTACAAACCGGGGTTAGATTGACCGTCTCAGCAAAGTGATTCGGATGCGATGCGTGGTTATCGCAGTCACGGCGATCGGTCGGTTGGCATGTGGCGCGCAGGCGGACGCGGCACGACATAAGCGTTGCTGGTTGGTTCGCAGGTTGATGGGTTGCCAGGATCTGTTGGAGGACGTGCCGGGCCGGTCCCGGCGCGACTCCTCGACGAGCCCCACCGACAACATTCGCGGCTACTTCGGCGGCAGCAGGAAGTTCCACAGTCGCAGCTCCAGCAAGTCGTACAGCGTCAAAGACGACATATCGAGTACGGTGCTCCGTAATACGTGACGTCTCCTGTTCTGTGTGCGTGCGTGCGTTAGTGTGTGCATGCGTGCGTGCGTGCGTACGTGTGTGCCTGTGTAAGTTCGTGCTTCTACATCGTGTCCCTGTTGTTGCGATTACGTGCAGGTAGTGACGGGTGGTGTGTGTATACGTGCGTGCGTGCTTCTACGTCGTGTCCCTGTTGATGCGATTACGTGCAGGTAGTAGGACAGTGGTGTGTAACCGTGCGTGCGTGCTCTACCGCACTCGTTCCTTGTTGATTAACGATAACCGGCTGCAGGTATGACGTGTGTGTGTAATACAACGTGCGTGCGTGCTTCTACGTCGTGTCCCTGTTGATGCGATACGTGCAGGGTAGTGACGGGTGGTGTGTGTATACGTGCGTGCGTGCTTCTAGATCGTGTCCTTGTTGTTGCGATTACGTGCAGGCAGTGACGGTTGGTGCATGTGGAGCTTTAGTGAATCTTGGTTCTTCTCGACTGCGCTAGCTTTGATGGTGATGGCGCATGACTGAGTTTCTGATGGTTCCACTCAGTATGCAGACCGAAATTTGACGGTATGAAGCTAGACATCACGCTGTTGCGGACGAACGCGACGCCCGTGGAAACCTGCAGTCAAGTGCTGGGATCAGCGTTTCAGGCCATAACTGGACAGGGTGATTGTAGGTCATGGCAATACCTGACAAATAAATATACGGTAACTAAATATGTTGTCCCGTCCTACGCGCATGTGCGAGCATAGTATAGTGTGGTGAGAGTAAGCAGGTGTTATAGAAGATTTTGGGGTATAAGAAAAGTGCAGCAACGTACAAATTGAATAGCTTCATCTGATCTGCTCATCCTTAAGGCTGTCTGCATGCTCGATGTGAACTGTTTGGTGCGGCTGCACGTGCCCCTCGCATAACTGAGATTCTCTGAGTGCTCAGCACTCGTCTCGCTCTGTGGCTGCAGTCGCGGGAACCCTGGAGTTGACATCTAACTGAAGGACCTGGCGTCGCAATGCGGGCTGTCAAGTTCCTAGGCGTTCCGAAGACTTCAATCGATAACAACGCCCAGCAGTTGGATTGTTGCTGTCAGCTCCGAGAACCGCCCGCGGACTCGCATCTTGCATAGTACACGTACCGAAACTCCAGAGCCGATGACCCTCATTGTATTCTTTGTCATCTAATAGAGGAGTAGTTGTATCCCCCGCGACGAAGTCGGCGGGGATACTCCATGGCCATGTCTCACCCAGCCGCGCTCCGCCCACTCGCTTCGCCCCGCACGAGATTGCGCTCTTCACCGCTCTATAACTCGGCCCTAATTGACTCTAGCGTGACCAACTTGGTTATACTTATTCCATACTGGGAGAAGGTGTGGCAGAGTACCTAAAACCAGGTCACTGCGACCTTTATAGACCTTATACTGACCTTGATCAATTCCCCTCCGCCTCCCTAACCTGGCACCCTAATGCACCTAAGGCGCTACCAAAAAATTGGTATACTTACAAATCTTGGATAAAGTGGCAGAGGTACCAAACCAGGTCCACTGCGACCTTTATTTGACCTTTACTTGACCTTGAGATCATATTTCCTCCCGCTCTCTAACTGCGCACCCCTAATTGACCTAGCAGGGCTCGAATGAGAGAACCGACGGCGACCAGCGGCAATTGCCGTCGGTGCCCCTATCAATTGCCCGTACTGGCCCCTGAAAATCCAACGCCGAACCGCCGGCAAGTCACCTGCCTTACCCTTTGGAATGCCGTCAAGTGCCACTTTAATATACTGCCTCTAGGTTTCGTTTCTAGTCGAGTCAACATAACAACGTGCGCGTGCGGCTGTAGTTGCAATGATGATTTTAAAAGCCGATATCGCAGGAGGGAATAAATAACATAATTATTCGCCTCCTGCTAGCGGGCATCGTAAAATTTCTTGTTACCCTGTAACCATCCATTAGCAGAGGGGGTTACATGTGTCGATGTTAAGTGTAAGCTACAATGGGGCAATATTCGTTTTGTACATTAAAAGCAAGACGATGTTGATGTACTAATTTGTTATGATTTTCCTTAATTTACAAAAGTGCCTTGGCCCTTCGTCAATTTTGAGAGTTCCCTTGGTGCCTTTTAAAATTGGCGCTCTGTGTCCCTTCCATTTAGAGAAAATTCAAGGGCGATTTCTCACTATGCCCTAAAAAACTTGCCTACTGCCCTTCTCCGCGCCTTACATTCGAGCCTTGTGACCTAGCGCTACCAAACTTGTATAACTTACACATCTTGGGTGAGCAGCGACCAAAAAGCCAAGGTCACTGCCGATCTTATTTGACGCTTTACCTGACCTGAACCATATCCCTTCCGCTCTCACCGGCCCCTAATGACCTAGGGCTACCAAACTGGAACTACACATCTTGGGAGAAGGTGAGCAGCTACCAAAACAGGTCACTCGCGATCTCTATTTGACCTACCTGACCTGATCCATCATCTCCCCTCCGCTCTCATACTTGGCCCCTAATTGACCTAGCGCTACCCGCAAACTGTATAGACCTACCCATCTTGGGAAAGGTAGGAGCCGTAGCCAAAACGCAGCTCACTCGGCGATCTTCTATTTGACCTTTAACCCTTGACCATTGATATATTTCCCTTCCGCTCTCTAACTGGCCCCTAAATTGACCTACGCGCACAAACTGGTATACCTACCCCATCTTGGGAGAGGTGAGCAGTCCGTACCAAAACAGGTCAAGGCGACCTTGTATTGACCTTTACTTTGACCTTGACATTGATCTTTTCTCCCGCTCTCTTAACTCGCCCCTAAGACGCTAGCGCTACCCAACTAAACTTTCGGTATACTTACACATCTTGGGAAAAGGTGACAGTACCAAAACCAGGTCACTGGGGGAAAACAAGAGGCCCTTTTATTTGACCTTTACTTTGTCCTTGATCCAATATCTTCCCTTCGCTCTTCAACCGGCTTCTAGATGACCTACGGCGCTACCAAAATCCAGGTCACTACGCCACCTTATTGACCTTTACCTTGACCTGATCACATATTCCCTTCCGCTCTATAACTCTGCCCAAATTGACCATACGAGCACACCCAAACTGTATACCTTCACATCTTGGAGCAGGGTTCCGCGTACCAAAAACCAAGGTCACTACGACATTATTTGACCTTTACCTGACCTCTTGATCATCATTTCGCTTCTGCTCAATAACTCGGCGCCCCCTAATTGACCCATAGCGCTAACCAAACTTGTAATACTTAACACATCTTGGGAGAAATTGTGTCGCGTACCCAAAACAAGGGCACTACGCGGCTTTATGCCTTGACCTTGACCTTGAACATATTTCTCTTCCATCTCTAATGACACGGCCCCTAAATTGACCTAGCGCGACCGAACTGTAAACTTACCAACATCTTGGGGAGTTCCGCGTACCAAAACCAGGTCACGCAACTTATTTGACCTTGACCTGACTATCATCAATATTATCGCCTCCGCCTCTAAAGACGTCGGCTCCTAATTGACTAGCCGCGGACCAAACGGTCGGTATACTACACATCTGGGAGAAACCGGGATACATGAGTGCCCGTAACAACTGCCCTGCTTCTAGTTGGAAAACTGGGTTAGGCCTGGTGTAAAGGAGGATCCACTCAGGGGAAAATATAGCCAATGCCGCTTTATCGCACACGTATTGTTTCTGTGAAGGTGGGTTAAAATTATAACGCTAACTCCAACGGGAAACATCAAGACTTTGTGTTTATAGAGATATAAGCAAGGCCTATGAAACAAACGCTCCGCGACTCCGAGATTGCCCTCGCCAGAGCCCCGAGCAGTAGAGACTAGTAGAGCGGCTAGAGAAATGTCTGGTCTACCCAAGACCCTAGTGCCGAGCTGAATTTTTTATTTCATAATCGTCGCTGTTCCTTATACATACGGCCAGTGCACAATACGCTGCAAACGTACCCATGTCTAGACGCCATTGTCCTGCTTCCTGATAACAAAGTATAACATCACGTGTTAACAACACAATGTTCGTTTATTAACACAGCCATGTTTATTAACACAATTATAACACAATGTTCGTGTCAAATTTCAATTTACCATCGTGACTTGACACAGTGTTAGAATGTTAGTATGTTAGTACTGTATTTTTAGTACTATATCACACATTAGTAAGCTTAATGTAAGGTTAGGAGAGATAATTCTCATGCAACTTTTAATTCACCTATCGGTTATACCGCATTGATCCCAGCATCATTTACCACATTACCAATATATTAATCTTACTCTTCATAAACCGAGTGAAACAATCGCGAATGGCCATGTCTGCTGTCACTGCAACACGTACAAAAATTACACATGATTAGCCTTTTGCCTTACAGCACTGAGCACAACGTGAGCAGAGCACATGCAGCACATGTTTCAACATAATATCCCGGACAACCAAAAACTCTTGAGGCCAACCATATGCTACCTCTTGGTTCTGCCGGACAACGAGACCAACCCAAAACCATTTAAAATTTGGCACCGCGATATAATACTATCAAGAGAATATACACTCTAGAGGTACGAATGGAAAAACTGGAAAAGTTGCTATTCACGCAATTACTTCACTGAGGCCTGTTGGGCGCATGATTTACACGCTACCAAATTATCTCGGCCTAGAAGTATCGAGAGACACACGGTTGTCTTTTAGAGAGCAAAGATGCGCTTAACGCGAATAACCATGAACTAGTCTAGAACCGCCATACAAATCAGAAAATATTGCCCGTGAAATGGCCATATTTCCCGTTGTACCTCAGGTATTTATAGCCTCTTGATATATAATATATACTTACTTACAAGACGGAAAACCTATTAGCTATGAGGTACTTATAGCTCTTGATATATGTATATTTATACACTATACTATATATATATATTATATATCTATACTAACTATATGCTGAATCTAAATTTCAGTCAAGGAATTTCGCATCTAAGCACCTCTCGCAGCGTCTTCCAAATCAAAAACCCAGATCCATCCCACGCTCACCCGCCCCGCCCCCCACCTCCACCGCCAAATGCAAAATATTACTCACTGCAGTACGCCTCAGCGCGCGCGCCTTCAAAACAGTAAGCTGAGATATTTTTAAGCTAGTAGATTTACAGTCATAGTCCTGCTGCTAGTGAACATTTTAGGTAGTTTCAAGCCCTGTAAGTGTATATATATATAATGTCTCTTCTGTAGACTCACCCGTGCTAACATAGGGTTACAATATTAGTGTCGAGACACAGCTACAGCATTTGATTATGTTGGAATGCGCAGTCTTTTTGTAATGAAAACAATAAATGCATTCTGGCATGTACACTTGTCCTAAACCCAAGCGAGTATACCAGAAAGCCAAACAACTGCCCACACCACTAATTATTTCTAAACACAAAAGCGTGAGTGTTGTGTCCTCCCTACACGTTTAAAAGCACATGATCTCTTGCAATTTGGTTATAAATGTGATAAACAACCTTCATGAGCGTAGATCAGGTCGTAAATGGAAGAATGTACAAGAATAAAGAAGGCCAGCTCTGCACATCCAGAGAACCTCTTTAGTTATGACAGAAACTCTGCCATTA